GCTGGAGCAGGGCCGGAGGCGGAGGCCGGGCCGGTGGCAGGGCAGAAGAATGCAAAAAAGGTCCGGTTATTTACAAGCATCTGCTGCCGATTGTGAGCTCCTAACCAATCCCCTCTTCGCCGAGAAAGCTCCATAGGGGAAGAATTTGGGGCTGTTTTGTTTACTGAAGTGTCCTCAGGGGATAGAATAGTGTCTGGCATTCTGAAGACTCCCAAAAATGTGTTGACTGAATGAATGAATGAATCAACTAAAGAGTGAATGTGTTCTCTCCTGGCTCCCCCACTTGTTAGTTGTATAAACCTCCATGATATAATTCTCCAACCAATAAAACGAGGATAAAAATACCTACCGTTGAGTAAATGTTGTAAATATGTACAACATTATCCGTTGTAGATTCTCCCCTCTTCTCCACGGGTCTCTCCTGCATACTCCTACCCTTCCCTCGACCCCCCACTGATCAACGTGTTTCGAGATAGGCAGAAAGACAGATATTCTTCATTAATTTGTCTACCTGTTATTTGCAGCCTGTCAACTTCTAAAATAGACTATGAGGCCGGACGCGGTGGCTCACACCTGTTATCTCAGCACAGTGGAAGGCCGAAGCAGATGGATCATCTGAGGTCAGGAGTTCAAGATCCAGCCTGACCAACATGATGAAACCCCATCTGTACTAAAAGTACAAAAATTAGCCGGGCGTGGTGGCAGGCGCCTGTAATCCCCGTTACTTGGGAGCCTGAGGCAGGAGAATCGCTTGAACCTGGGAGGTGGAGGTTGCATTGAGTTGAGATTGCTCCATTGCACTCCAGCCTGGGCGACAAGAGCGAAACGCTGTCTCAAAAAACAAATAAAACAAAACGAAAAAACAAACAAAAAACCCCAAAACCAAAATAGACTATGTGGCAGCTTTCAAGTAAAATGTGTGTATATTCTAAACATTACAGCTACTAAAATGGAAATGTTAATATGTTTTTGGAGAAGAAGGAAAAAATACACTAACCACCTAAATTATTTTAACTGAGTATTTAATCTCACGTTCAGCTTTCTGGCCTCCTAGAACAGGGAGAAGGAGGATGTTTCATACTTTTTGTAGATGGGAAAAATGAGCCTTTCCATCTATGAAGTCAACCAACATTTGCTGATACTCCTCTAAGGCTAGGCACAAGGGTGATCATAAAGAGGATGTCACAGTCCTGCCTTTCATGTGACCCTTGGCAGAATTCCCACCAGCCCTAAATGATCTGAAGGGAACTCATCTAGGATCCTGTTTCTTATAAAAGACATTCAACGTCGAAAATATTTTCAGCCACAGTTTTAGAGAATTTACAGATATAGCCTCTGAAAATGGGGGAAATCCAATACCTATTTCCATGTGCCGCATGCACTCTTTTATATAAACATATATATTAAAAATAACACTATATCAAAACCTTAACTATGACTTATTGCAGATTGGATGATAGTAGATGATATTTGTTTCCTTTCCAAACATTCTACAGTAAATATCCTTACTTATATAATTAGGAAAAAGATTTTTAAAAAACAAATGCAGTCCTGGCTAACACGGTGAAACCCTGTCTCTACTAAAAATGCACAAAAAACAAAATTAGCCGGGCGTGGTGGCGTGCGCCTGTAGTCCCAGCTACTCGCGAGGCTGAGGCGGGAAAATAGAGAGAACCCAGGAGGCGGAGCTTGCAGTGAGCCGGGATCCCGACACTGCACTCCAGCCTGGGCGACAGAGCGAGACTCCGTCTCAAAACAAACAAACAAACAAACAAAAAACAAAACAAAAGCAAATGCAGTCTATCCCAAGATGTGAAGAGCTTGAAAGTTGTCACTCCACTCCCCACAACAAGAGAAAAGCTGAACAAATTGAAGATTAACAACTCTTCTTGTGTCAGTATCAGTGAATTGAGTCACAGGGCAAACTGCAAAAACTGAGAGACAGACAAATGCAAAGAATCACAGTTTACAGGGACCAGAAGCCTCTGAAATCATAGTAAAACTTAAATTGTAATTGACTAATTGCTGGAGTTGAGTGTGGACTAGCTTGAGAGTTAAACACTGTTGGGTACTCAG